CGATGGAATTGTATGGAAAACATACAGTTACCAACGCACCCTTGTCCACCTAACGAACATGACCCCGATCCATGGTGTTGTATGGAAACCATACAGTTAGAAACGGACCCTTGTCCACCTAACGAAGATGAACCCGATCCATGGAGTTGTATGGAAACCATACAGTTAGCAACGGACCGTGCTGCGCCTAACGAACAGGACCGATGGAATTGTATGGAAAACATACAGTTACCAACGCACCCTTGTCGACCTCATGACCCCGATCCATGGAATTGTATGGAATCCATACAGTTAGAACAAGAAGAGACTCCTTTTCTCCTTCCATCCCCTTACCCGGGGAATTAAAACCGGGCCCCCGACCACACTACTTGGATTAACTGGATTGACCGCAACAAGCACCTATTGCGGCAGAGCACGACGCAGCCCTGGTTTTTGCAATTGAAATCGGAATGGAAACAACACCTGCGTGCACACATGGTGGCAAACGTGGAGCACGGGCACAGTGAACACTGTGAGCGTGGCAATATCCCATCCGTAGAGATGAAGAAAGATGCCTGGAAAAAGTGGGTTGCAAGGCAACATGCGCTTATGAATACATACAGTGAGCAGGAGTGGTTTCAACATTTGTTAGAACATATCGCACAAGACAATGTAACCGCAGCAGACAACGCACCGGCAAACGCCGAAGTACCTATAATGGCAAAAGACTTAGAAGTGGAAAATGTAACGGGAACACAACATATGCTAAGAGTGAGAGATTTACCGCGGTCGCAACTGCATCGGCAAACTTACATGAAAAAACGGTTAACCGCTAAAACATGGATACTGATCCTGGCATTAGTCATAGAACAGTGCGAGCTTGAAAGCCGTCTGCAGGAGAAGGAGTTATATGTAGATGAACTCCTGGACAAGCTCTGAAATTAGGATGAAGTCAGGGGTATGCAGGCTAGGGAGTTATATGTGGATGCTTTATTACAGAATATGCGACATTAGGATCACGGGGCATATGCATGCGACATAACGCATGCTAACCGTAGACCACTTTTACTGCATTATGTGATATACATAATATATTTCTTGTTTGCACTATTCTATACCGTCTTTTTTTTTTTTTCTTTTGTTCCTTCTGTTTCTTTGTGCTTACTTTTGCCTTGTTTTGTTCTTTTTCTGTGTAGTCAACTTCTTTTAACATGACCATAGGAACAGGGTGGTACAGGTCACATGCATATAAAATGCAGATTTACATGAATAATATGCAGGGGTACAATTCTCCTTTATGTGAAGTTAATTATTAACAGATGAGAAAGTGCATTCTACGGGTATAGTGCAGAACACATATAGCCTGCGACTACGCATTCGAGTATAAGGTGCTTGTCTCCGCGCAAACGTGGCCGCGTAAACCGCATTGTAGCCGCGTGTAAGAAGGTACACATTGTTTCTCCGAGCAAACGCGGCTGAGTATAAGACGGATTCGACGCAGTAGCCGCGTGTAAGAAAGGAGCAGAGATTGTCTCTCCGAGCAAACGCAGTCGGGAAACCATTGTCCGAGTGTACGCAGGAGGAGAGGTTGTCTCTCCGAGCAAACGCGTCGACCAAAGCGGCCGCGTGTAAGACGGATTCGACGAAGTAGCCGAGTAAGCATTGTGCCGAGGGTAAGAAAGGACGGAGAGATTGTCTCTCCGAGCACACGCGTCGACCAACGCAGCCAAGTGCAAGACCGATTCGACGAAGTAGCTGAATGCAACAAGCAGGAGGATTGTCTCCTAGCAAACGCGGCCGCGTAAACCGAATTGTAGCCGAGTGTAAGCCGCAGGAGCGATTGTCTCTCCGAGCAAACGCGTCGACCAACGCGGCCGCGTGCACGAAGCAGGACCATTGTCTCCGAGCAAACGCGGCCGATTCGACGAAGTAGCCGCGCAAACGCGGCCGAGTGTAAGAACGCAGGAGGATTGTCTGTCCGAGCATACGCGGCCGGGTACACCCATTGTCCGAGGAAGTAGCCGAGTGTACGAAAGGAGGAGGATTGTCTCTCCGAGCAAACGCGGCCGGCTTCGCACGAAGTATCCGAGTGCAACACCGATTCGACGATGTAGCCGAGTGTAAGAAAGGAGGGAGAGATTGTCTCTCCGAGCAAACGTGGCCGGGTAAGAAGCAGGATTGTCTTCGAGTGCACGAAGGAGGATTGTCTCTCCGAGCAAACGCGTCGAGCAACGCGGCCAAGTGTAAGACGGATTCGACGAAGTAGCCGAGTAAGTGGTTGGAGGCAAGGATCCACAGAGGGAGCAGAGAGCCGCCGGGAGGCGGAGGAAGGAACACACATATTATGTGGGGGAGCACACAAGGGCGGCAAAGAAGGCGGCAACGACGGCAGAAGCATTGACGAATTGATGTTGTTGTTTTTACTGCGGTTTTTTTGGTGTACGCACAGAGAGACCGTGTGTTCGACGGCGTTTAGTGCAGACCGGTGTACAAAGGGAGTGGGGGTATATTCATGACGGTGTTGTGTGCGTACGGTAGTGTAGTAGAAGTTTTTTTGTTTCATTTTTCTCTTCATTTTTGTACTCCGTTTTGGTTATGTGCATATTATTCTCTCCTAAACAATATCAGCATGGTATACACAGTTTGTGCACTGTGCAATTCTGTATTGTGCATTTTCCTTATATAAATTATATGTGTGATCGGATTTTCCCCACTAATATAGTAATAAGCATATTAATGAGGCAGAAGTGTGTATAGCATCAGGGCGGAATATTAATACTGTGCATAGTATTCTCAGGTAGCATTAGTATCCTGTATTATGGCACTTAATGCACCATGGCAGGGCACTTAGTAAATGCAATGGCCGAGTGGGCACGGAAACGAGACATAGGGACACAGGATTCATTTAATGTAAGTATTACAACACGCAAGGGTGAACAGCAGGCAACAGATGATACAAAGTGCGGGGCATCCGCATGAGCACTTGTGTATTGAGCAAGGAATACGTGATACGCTGCAGGGGA